CACACACACACACACACACACACACACACACACATATGAGGCAGTGGGTTATAGAGCTTTAAGGGTAGAAAGATATTGGGCCTGAAATAAATGTAGGTGTCATTAGCATCTGTTTATGCAAACCTTCCACTGATGTTTATTCCTACCACTTTCTGCCTACATTGACTTGAATGAAGAGTGTTGTTCTCAAGTCATTCTGTCCTTGCTCGGATTCTGGCACCCTGTCACAAGGTCCCGCCACAGACCACACTCTGGAAGAGACGGACAGGAGGGTGGACCTCACCTGCACAGGGGCACCGGCTCCCCTCAGTCTTTCCCATTTCCTGATGTCTGCCTCTTTCTTGTGCTGCATCCGGGTAGGCCACACAGGCCCCTGGGCCACCAACACGACTGCCCCTGCACCAGACCCTGAAGCCTGTCCTAGCTCAGGGTCTGATGACTGTTCAGAGGGCCTGGGCATGCAAGAGTGTCTGTGTCTGAGTGTGTTGTTGGTGTGTGTCCAGTCATGTGTCAGCTGCAGGAATTCCTGAGGCCCAATGAATCAACCTTCTAAACAATTCCAGGTCAGTCCAGTGAGAGAGGCATGTTCCCGCCTGCGCTGGTTTTTGGCTAGATTTCTCTTTGAGTTTGAGTTCTTCCCCAGTTTTCTAGACTATATTTAAAGAAAATAAATCATAACTTTTTTCTTAATTTTTATGTTTAAACATTTTCTCATTAATTTGAGAGAGAGAGAGAGAGACACAGAGAGAGGGAAATTGTGAGAGAGATACTTTGATCATTTGGCTCCCATACATGTCCCTGCTGGGGATCAAACCTGCAACCTAGGAGGGTGCTCTGGCTGGGAATCAAACCCATAACCTTCCAGTGCACGGGATGATGCTCCAACAAACCAAGCCACCCCAACCAGAGGAGGAAATCACAACTTCCAATAACATCTTATAGAAGCCTAAAAAATACAAGCAGCACCTGATTCATAAATATCACCTCAATGTATGTCTGCAAGATGAGCCCTTTTGTGCAGCCAGCTCCCACGGGGAGAGACAGAGTGTTCCCCACCCCTAGGGCCCCCAAAAGGAATGGTGCAGCTCTGACGTCCAGTCATAAGACAGGCAGGCTCATTGTCCTACTCTCCATAGCAGCACTCATTCCGTGTGTTCTGGTGTCCGGCTGTGCCCGGCATAGAATTGAGAGACCGGTTTTGTGTCAGGTGTGGCTGCAACGTGTGTAGGCTCCTTGCTGTGGAGCTTTCCATCCTTTGCACATGCCCCCCTGTGTTCATGGCATGTTGATGCGGTTGCCTGGTATCGGCCATCAGGAGGAGTGTGGCAGGGGAGATGCTAGTGCATGCTTTGTGTGCACACATGATCATCTTTTTGTAATAGAAATGGAGACTATCAAGGAGCAAGTGAAATAATAAATAAATTAAAAAGTAAGAAAAGCAAGGAAAAGTGCACCGATGTATATTATTATTTATATGCATGCAGCTGCACATTCATATCTTTCCCCCGCTTTTCTATTTGGTTGTCTGTGTTTAACTCCTTAGTTCACAGTAAATATTTATAGCAGTTTCTACAATTTCTTTTTGACAGCTGTTTTCTTGGAATTATTTAATGGACTTGAATATGGGCCGCACGGTTTGTAAGAAACATGATGAAGACATTGACAACTGCCCCTTGCAAGAAGGCCCAGGCATGAAAGAGGTTTGAGACTAAAACAACCCAAAGCATCATGAACCTTCTGGAAATAAAAAATAATATCAGAGAGAAGGTTTAAGAAAGTCTTCAGGAATACTCCTGGGGTAGATGAGTCTTAGCCCCTCTCCCACCAGGTCTCAGAGACACTTCCGGGGTACATGAGGGTCTTAGTCTCTCTCTCACCAGGTCCCAGCGCTCCCCCCTGGAGGGGGAAGGAGGTCATTCTAAGCAGACAGAGCTACTCTCAGCAGAGCAGTGAGCTGAATCCTGTGTTCCCAGCCTGACTGGTTAACCAGAGACACTCTGACAACACCCACTCTACCTTCCTCCCTTGGATGGAGGCCTCTCCCTGGGTCCCAGTCTCGAAGTTTCCTGAGACCTTGAGGTCCAGGCAGATGCTCCCTGTGGTCCTCCCTCTTTCTTTGCTCCTGTTCTTCTGGATCTAAGTCACCTCTCCCTCTAACTTCCCCTCCCTTGGATGGAGGCCTCTCCCTGGGTCCCAGTCTCAAAGTTTCCTAAGACCTCGAGGTCCAGGCAGATGCTCCCTGTGGTCCTCGCTCTTTCTTTGCTCCTGTTCTTCTGGATCTTAGGTCATCTCTCCCTCTAGCGTCCTGGGCTGCAAGGACATGCCTCAGCAGTCCAAGCCCTTGTTCATTATCCCATGAGATGACATCTGATCCATGGAACTCGGACCTTGGGGATGGGCCTCACTCAGGGTGACACTGTCAGTGGGGCTGGTCTTCCCCTCCTACCCCAGCCTTGGGGATAGCCTCCCCTTGGGGTGGGTTTGCAGCTTCTGCTGAGTGGGTGCATGTCCACCTGGACCATCCCCTGGGCATGGTGCTGGCTCCCTAGAACTCACGGGGAAGGGGCCACTCATCATGTGCACTGGGAGACCCTGAGAGCCAGGTGCTGGCCCCAGCAGGCATCCTCTTAGGAGTCTCTGGGCTCAGGTGGACAGACTCAGGTAACCACTGCCTATCATCCTGTTTGACCCTTGAGCTTCCTAATTCCTCAGGCCACTGTTGTTTTTTTCTTTCCTCTTGTAGTTTTCAATGCATCTTGAGCTCCTATCAAGTTCTTCATGGTAAGGCTCTCATGTTGCTACATGGCTCTGATTTTGTCCTGCAATTACATTTTTCAGGTGAACTGCACTTTCATTGTGGATGCCCGACCATGGATTTCCCAGTTCACCCTCCTGGACAGCACCTGCCTGCAGACATAGGCGGGGAAGGGGCGCCTGCTTCTCACAGCAGAAGATTCTTTTCCTATGGAGAGTGACAGTGGGTCTGCCTGTGAAGCACAGGGGAATTAAAGGCATCTCAGAGCACTTCCTGGTCCCTGTCAGTTTTGCATTCTCCTGTTGTTTATTTTCCAGAGAAAGCTCTGCTAGTGGCATGTGGTAGAGAATTTATCACTATTGTTCTTACCTTGGCTGCAGGTGCAGCGTGTTGACTAAATCCAACTCCCCAGTTCATGTGTGGCTGTTCTTACTGGTTCTTGTAGAGCCCCACTGGTTTGTTTGTATATCCATCCATCCATCCATCCATCCATCCATCCATTTTTCCTTTTGTTCATTTATTCATCCATCCATCTATTTGTTTATTCATTTATTCCCCAATCTCTTTGTGCTCCTCTTTCAATCCACTGATAGGAATGCAGATAATTTTTCCCCCTCTGGGCCCAGGTCACAGTATAGTGGCCTTTTTATAGTGCATTATGCCCAGACATAGGGATGGAAGGTGGGCGACTGAAGCTGATTGAGGGCTCTGTCCTCCATGTACATTCATCAGAGCATCTACACAAAGAGCTGAATTGTCGACAAGAACATCTTGTCATGCTCTCTGAGAAGGCCTATAATGTAGCAGCTCCAGTCACTATATTCCCACATGCTCCCTGAGCCGCTGTTTCTCCATCTTGGCTTAGTGTGATGCTAATGGCTATCAACACTACTCACTTCCCCTGGGAGAGGCACTGTGGCCACTGACACCCACTCTGATGAGCATCTCTCTGTCCCTGGGTCCTAGGGAGGAGCAGCCTGGAGAGACAGATGGAAGGCATGGGAGGGTGCAGAGCATGAACGGGGACAGAGACACAGTGGCAATGCCTTCTGTCGAAATATTTCAGAGCGAAGGGCTGATGGGACTTCCTTCATCCCACCTTCGTTTCTGGGAACTCTGGTTTAAGTGGTCCATAGTCGAAAGGCTGGCTCTTTCCTGGCCATCCCATTGCCATGAACTGGTCATAAGGCTGACGGTGTAGGATTTTCCTGGACAGCTGGAGACAGCACGAAGACAGTGGCCTGGGCCAGCTTGGGAGTTTTTGACCAATCTGTGTATAGAGTTTGTAACATCCACCCACAGTTCTATAGGGGCATCTATAAAGTTGCAAGGGCATGTGTGTAGTCAGCAAAGCCAGCCTATTGCCCACTCTTGCCTATGATGGCACTCGGGTTCCTAGTGGTTGAGACATTGTTCATGGTTGAGGACAGCCAGACCCTGCCTGAATGCTAGTTGGCATTCCTCATGGGTGGCATCACCTTCACCTCTGACTCCCGTTTTACATCAGGGGCCTGGTGTCCTATTCCTTTTCACTGTACTTTAGTAGTTTCCTACCTTGATTTGTGTGAAAACCCCATTGGTTTTATTTCACAAATTTCCTAGAGACCAGGCCATCTCTATGATAGAAGAATTTTTGTGACCTGACATCAGAAATATATAAAGCTCCCAGGTGATTGGCACTTGTGGCCAAGGTCGTGTAATGGTTCTCTAAGGAACTTCCATATTTATAAATTGTGTAAATCACAGTTAGTGAATATTGTTTGTGGCCTGGGTCTTTCCTCTGATTCCCACTCTCACCGAATTACAGGTCTGTGGTAGGGTTGGTACATTTTGTGCCTGACACCACGGTCCTTGAACCCACACTAGTAGTTTTTGAATGATGTGCCACTCACTAAGGTCTGTTAAAACAGGAGCAACCTATCCTGTGTTGCTGTGTCCTGGAGAGACCTCTCCAGATTCAGTGCAGCCACTATTTGTCCCAGATCAGGAGGGAGTAAAAATGCACTTAAAGTCACAATATGAGCACACAATATGAAAATGGACACATTTTAGAAATTCTTGATTTCCACAAAACCCAGATTGTTTTATGGAATTACCAGATTGTTTTATGGAATATATTTGCTGAGGACCCCCCCGCCTCTTCCTAAAAATGGGGCTTAACCCAAATCGCAGCACTGGGGTCTTTGGGGAAAAAATACAAGGCAGAGGGAAGGAGGTGGAGGAGAAGTAGGAGAGCTGTGCTCCCTACACATTGGATGTAGTACATTTTGAGTGATGAGATTATCTCTGTGAATCTCCACCATCAGCCCCTTTTTCCATTTCTATATCAGGAAACTAGAAACTTGTCTCGTGGTTTTCTGAATTGAGCTCAAGGCCAACTGAATCCAGCACTCTTATCACCAATTTCCCTCTTGACTCTTTGGTTTCCAAACATAAAGATTCATTGTTATTAGCATGGAAACAAAGGCTTAGAAACACTTGTAACTAACCACTTATTTCCTTTCTGCGATGTCCTCCAAATGTTATTTTCAGAACCACATCACCTGCTCCAGAAACCGCTGTTGTTTATCTGCTCTCCTGTCCTCTCTTATGAGGTCACATTGTCAGCCTAGGAATACCATCAGTGGATCAAAACCAACAAATCAATGTCTCAAATCATTGCATTTGTCAGGATGAGCCCCTCACCCCATCGCCAACTGCCCCAAACTCAAGGGCCTCATAGCATCTGCCTCAATCTATCCCCAGCACTCCATAGACCCTGTACCATCTCTTTTTCTTCCTCTTCCGCTTTCTTCACTGCCTCCCACTTTCTGTTACTCTGTAAATGATGACACCCATTATCTCTGAAATTGCTTATATTTTACATATACCTGTCCTATGGCTTACATTGTGTGCATAGCTGTTAGATAAATCTAAAATATTAGCCAAATCACACAAAGGTTCAAATTAGTTCTATATTTTTGAAACACAAATTTCTAGAACACGTTAAAAAAAACTATTAAAGAAAGTACAAGACATGATGGGACAGAACAAAGATAAATAATAGAAACAAACCTGAAAAGCTATCTAGCCAACGTGGTTATCAGATATGGACATTAACATACCTAGGATGAATTGGTTCAAGGAATTCAAAGATGAATAATATTGGCAAAGAAGTTGGAGCTATCAAAAAAGAATAAAAGGAAAGTCCTAGGACTGGAAAATACAATAACTGAAATGAGTAATGAGACAGGCAGGTTAACCTCAGATTAGAAACAGCTGAAAGGAGAATTAGACAACAGGAGGCAGGACAAAGGAGAGGCTGCAGGATGGAAAGTATGAGAAGGTCAATGTGAGATCTGCCTCAGAGTGAAAGGAAGAGACAATGGGGCTGAAGCAATATTTGGAAATGCAAAGCCTGAGTTATACAGAGCTGACCAAAGACATCAAAACATTTTTTTAAAAGCAGTATTACAAACTCCACACAGGATAAGAGAAGAAATCCACAGCTGAGCATGAAAAAGTTAAAAATCAAATTTAAGGAGAAAAGTCTTAAAATCAGCCAGAGGTGTTTTATCTTCAAATAAGCAAACATCAGGCTTTCCGCTGCCCTCAGATAGAAACCAATGAAAGTCAAAAGACATTGTCATGCATCTTCTAAGGGATTCCTTAGCCAGCAAAAATATTTCTCAAAAGTGCATATAAAACCAAGTGATTTTAAACAAATGTGGAATGTAATTATTGATTTTAAACAAATGTGGAATGTAATACAATGAAAGTCAAAAGACATTGTCATGCATCTTCTAAGTGATTCCTTAGCCAGCAAAAATATCTCTCAAAAGTGCATATAGAACTAAGTAATTTTAAACAAACAATGTGGATGTAATTATTGCCAGTAGAACTGTTCTAAAATAAATACTAAAGGGAGTTTTCTGGGCAGAAGGAAAAGATGAAAAAATAGTATAGTAGGAAGAAAGAAACAACATTCAAAAGAATAAATATGTGGATGAATCTAGATGATATACAGACTATAAATATAATATTTTATTGAAGATTGTAAAATGCATATAGAATTAGTATACATGGACATCATGGCACAAAGCTGGGAGAAGAGGAAATGTAGCTGGAATGATGTAAGTGAACTTAATGCTCTAGTTAAAAGACAAATTTAGTTTATTGTTGGAAAAACAAAAGAAAACAAAGCGCCCAGCTGGCGTGGCTCAGTGGTTGAGTATCAATCTATGAACCAGGAGATCATGGTTCGATTCCCGCTCAGGGCACATGCCTGGGTTGCGGGCTCAATCCCCAGTAGGGGATGTGCAGGAGGCAATTGATCATTGATTCTCTCTCCTTCTCCCTTCCTTTCTGAAATCAATAAAAAAAATGTCAAAAAAAGAAAACAAAGCAAAAAGGAAACATCATAAATATATGAAAACAGATTTTTGAAAAATAAGGATGGACTAAAGTATACTATGCCAACGGCTATGGTGTAAAAGTACTAATAGCCTATAAAATTAACTGTAAGACAACAAGCACCACTTGAAATCAAGGGGGCTATTATGCTGATGAAAATGTTCACCTGTTTCAAAATACTTACAGCAAAAACAGAAAGAACAGAAAGAAGAAATAATCAAATATACAATCATAGTGAAAGTAGAAAACACAACTTCCAGAAACAAGTAAAACTGACTGGACACAATATATCAGTCAGGGTCTCAAATTCTGATACAGAAGATCTGAATGACACAATATCAAATTGTCCTGAACATCACTGAAACATTGAACATGAGTTCATGGTCTTGCCAGATGTACATGAAACATTTTCAGAATTGATCAGTGGTGTGTCACGAAGTAATTCTCTGCGAAATTCACAGTCCTGATACCATGCAGACTCTTCTAAAACCACAGTGAAATTAGGGTAGAAATCAAGAAGAAATCATTCATTGGAGACTCTTCAAGCTGATCTCCATGCCACACTGGGCAGGCAAGGACTCACAGCCCTCCCCTCCTGTGCAGGAGGTACTCACCAGATACACTGCTTACAGGGGACCTCCTCATGGGGGAGGGGCACTTGAAGGCACTTTTCTCCTCTATGACTCAGTTCTCAGTACTTTCCCACTCCTAGGCCTTACCCCTTGCCATCCCAAGGGTGCCAGAGCCCTCTCTGGTTTGTCTGCTTCCCATTTA